CCGGCCCGGTGACCCCCCCAAGCCCGGCCCGGTGACCCACCCCCCGGCCCATCGAATCACAGGATCCCAGGATGGTTTGGGTGGGGAGGGACCCTAAAGCCCACCCAGTGCCACCCCCTGCCATGGGCAGGGACACCTCCCACCAGCCCAGGACCTAAAGCCAAGGAGCTGAGGACCCCTCTTTGCTCCTGTGGGAAGCTAAGGCATTGTGGAAATAAACTTGCACGTCCTATTTGTGCAGCACTTGAAAGAATGGGGGAAATTTTTAATTCTTGACCATGGTCAATTTTTAGGGTGGCTTTTCATATCATCTATGAGATCAAAAGCAATATTTATCAAAGCAATTCACTCCTAGCACTTCTCGAAAATGCTGGTTTGTTGTTTCTGCCAGAGACTTTGGTAAATTCTTGTTTTGATGCAAGCCCTCAAACCAACTGTCCTTGCAGAGGAAGAACTTGTCTATTCTGTCATCTTCAGATGCCCACCCCACCCCGTACTTACCCCGGGGTGACAGCAGAGGACACGGGCTGGGGACAGGAGCAGCCCTGGCTGCGTAGACTGCTGCAGGGGGCTGGGGAGCTGTATTTACCCAGCCAGACCAAACCCCACGGGGCTCACCCCGGGAGTCCCAGCTGATTTCCTTGCTCTTCAGAGGGTGTGAGCACCATGGGACTGTGCACAAGCAGGTTTTCCTGCCTCACTTAAGAGTGCAAAAATGAGAGTGAAGGCAGCTTTGGGTCACTGGCTGAAAAAAAAAAAAAAAAAAAAAAAAAGACCAAAAAAAAGTGTATTCAGAAATTCATCAGTTTTGCCCTGCTCTGTGAAAATTTTGCATTCTGGAAAGTGAAGAGACCATTTCTAGCACAAATCTGATTAAGAACTTCATTTCCTGAATTAGGAACAAATTAACTCATGATCCACAAGCACAAAGCAAAACAATATTTGTAAATAACAGCTCAAGATATTTATAGGGATGTGTACTGGGTGTAGGTGGCAAGGTTTGGGTGGTGGAGGGGGCTGCAGGGTTCCAGCTGGATCATGCCCCAAAGCTGAGCCAGCCAGGGGAGTTCCTGCTGCCTCTGTGAAAATGTATTTAAGAAAGGGTAGAAAATGTGAGACAGAGAGGAGTGAACAAAAAGAGTGAGAAACAGCAAGCGAACACCAAGGTCAGGGCAGCAGGAGGTGCTCCATGGTGGTAGGAGCACTCCCACCCAAGGGTCATGGAGGACCCCCACCCAAGCAGGTACACCCCCCAATGGGACTGCAGCCCACAGAGGACCCCCACCCAAGTAGGTACACCTCCAATGGGACTGCAGCCCACGGAGGACCCCCACCCAAGCAGGTACACCCCCCAATGGGACTGCAGCCCACAGAGGACCCCCACCCAAGTAGGTACACCTCCAATGGGACTGCAGCCCACGGAGGACCCCCACCCAAGCAGGTAGACCCCTAAGGGGAATGCAGCCTGTGCATCAGCCCATCCTGGAGCACTGGAGATGGCTGAGAAGGAAGGAATGGCCAAGAGAAGCTGCTGTGTACTGACCCCGACCTGCGCCTACCACGGTCTCCATGAGGGGATGGAGGGAAATCTGGGGTGATAACAAGGAAAAGAGAGGAGTATGGAGTGAGGAGGTGACTGAGCACCACTGATGTTTTCAAGAAGTCATCAGTCATGTCTCCAAGATGCCTATTTCTGCGTGGGGATGGCCAGCTCATAACACAACATTGTCTATGCAAAAAATAGGACTGTGCTTTGCCAGAGCACCTCAGTTTTAATGAATCTATACTGAATTTTACTGTCTGATTTATCACTTCATCATTCAGCTTTGCAAAGTTCTCCCATAATCCCTCATCTCCACAACTTTGGGCACAGTAGTTTCATAAAAAGCTTCATACCATCTCAGTTCTCATCTTCCCTAGGTCTCTGATCACAGAATCACAGAAGGGTTTGGGTCGGAAGGGACCTTGGAGATCATGCAGTGCCACCCCCTGCCATGGGCAGGGACACCTCCCACTAGCCCAGGTTGCCCAAAGCCTCATCCAGCCTGGCCTTGAACCCCTCCAGGGATGGGGCATCCACAGCTTCTCTGGGCAACCTGGGCCACTGCCTCACTCCCCCCAAAGGAAAGATTTTCTTTCTAATATCTAGTCTAAATCTGCCCTCTTCCAGTTTAAATCCATTACCCCGCGTCCTGTTGCTGCATGCCCTTGTAAAAAGTCAAACAACAGAAGAAGAACTGAGGACAGCCTGGGGGAAGCAGACAGAGACCCCACAAGACCCCGAGACCCTCATGGCAGCATGGGCAATGAGCCACCACACAAAACACAACCCTGCTGGATGGGGGCATTTCTTACCTGCTGGGCTGCGATAGCAAAAACCACGTTAGGGATCCAAGAGCTACAGCTACACGAGCAAAATAGGTCAGACTGTGTTCTTGTGCCGCATAAATTCAACCCTGTGAACAGGGATCTCCTTTTGTAACAGCCCAGATTTATAAGTATGCCAGTGACGCAGCAAAACACATTTCTTGTTCTAAGACTTGGATAAAACAAAGGAAGCAGACGTGTTAACTCAGTAGAAATAACATGGATTTATTTCGTTTTTGTGCTGTATTTGCAGCGCTGGTCTATGAATCAGATCTACAGCAGCCTAGCACATCAATAAATAACTCGGGCAACAGAAATCATGTCTAAGCCATATGAGGAAAAACACAACTGAAAAGACAGCTAAAAAACCCACTGCTCATTTGTGCTCTTCCCCATGACCCTGGGAGCAGGTCCCCTGAGCCCCCCGGTGCACAGAGGGGTGGAGGAAGGGGCCAGCGCTCTGCCTTTGCCATTGAGGGGGGATAAGGTGCACACAGCAGGTTGAACCTTACCCTTCCTGAGGCTGTCCTCAGAGCTCATACTGGAAAATGTGAGCAACCCTCCTGCAGGCAGATGCATCATTGACCATGGCACGTCCAGCCGAGGGGCTGGGAGCAGGCGCGGGGCTCCGGGATGGTTTGTCCCTGTGTCAGTGCCATGTGCGCAAGGAATGGGCATCACCCACCAGGAGTGGGCATCACCCATCCCCAATCCTGGCAGTGAAGGTCAGCACATCAAACCACGCTCCTCTCCCAGCTGCCTGCCAACACAAGGTGGTTTGGCCCCTCTTTCCCCCCTCTTGGCCCCTCTTCCCCCCACCCACTTTAGTTAAATGTGAAGCATCGGTAGCTTTTTGGAGGGGACCTGCAGGCCACCAGCTCATTTCCTTAGCTACACAAAAAGAGAATAAATGCAGGCTGTGGAGCTCAAACAAGAATGTTATTTACCTCCAGCTCAGTATCAGCATGGTGACGTCAAAACTGAATACTCTGAAAATTTTCCAGTTCTGCATAGGCTGACCTCAGGATTTAGCACCCTCCTGAGCCTGCCAAGCGGGCTTTGGTGCTTGCAGCAGGGAGTGATGACCTGAAATGTTAGCCTTTTCAGCATATTCTCACCATTCTCAAGTCTTAAACTTAGAAGGATTCAGGAGAAGAGCTGGGCGTTGTTCAAAGTGGATCATGCACTTGCTGCAGAGTTACGTATCCAGGGTTGGTTCCTGTGGCCCATCATGGGCTGCAATTTGCATGGGCAGCTGTATGGATCCATACGTGCTCCTGTGCATGGGATGTGCAAGAATTTGGATTATTTTGAGAGAAAAATGCAATGAGCACCAGATCATGGATCTGCTTGGCTTTGATGCCATACACCATGGCGGGGAATGGGAGGTAGAGAATAGCCATCAAGACATGTGTGTGAGGCAACACGGCAGCCAAACTGATAAGAGAACCACAGGGTTGCAGAAGACCAGGATGGTGTAGAAGTGGGAGAGGGAGGTCCCAAATACTTTCAGTCTGTCCTCCTTCAATGCCAGGCTCAACATGGTCCTCAGGATCCTGAGGTAGGAAAGTCCAATGAACAACAGATCCAACCCCACAATGAAGAGAGCCATGATGATGTTACTGAACCCGGCGTTGGCACAGGCCAGCTCCACCTCTGCCGTGTGTTTGCACTAGCAGATGAAGATGATGTGGGAGCGGCAGTACGGCCGGCGATGGAGGAGAAAAGACAAAGGCAACATGAGCCTGGCTGTCCTGGCTAGAGGCAGCAGCCCGTTCTTGATGACCAGGGAGATGGTCAGGATGGAGCTTGTAGCTCAGGGGGTTGCAGATGGCAACATACTCATTGAAAGCCATGGCCAGCATCTCCACTGACTCCATGATTGAGAAAGTGTGAAGAAAAACCATCCGCACAAGGCAGGCACTGAAGGTGATCTCCTGGGCATTGAAGCAGAAGATGCTCATTTTGGGTATGGTGGTCAGGGACAGCACCAAGCCAATGACAGCCAGCATGGAGAGGAAATGGTGGAGAGATGGCTCCGTCTTCATCACGTACAAGAGGGTGCTGCTCCCAAGGGCAGCTACAGAGAACACTGTGCTGAACGGGATGGAAATCCAGGGGTGCGTATCTTCCAGCCCAGGGATGCCAGTCAAGAAAAACATGGATGGGGTGGTCCTGTCGGAAGCAGAGAGTTTGACATTGAGGGGCATCCTTTGCAAACTACACCTAAAAGTCTTTCTTTTCAATAAAACTTAATAGAAAGAATCATTAAACTTTGCAAAACTTACCCAGATTATGCCACTTTCACTACAACTCCCTTATAACGTGTGAAGTTCATTTGTTATTCTGCTTGTTACTGCACCACGGCAAGGTCAGTCTGTGGGGTTTATCAAAAGCAGTGTGAAGTGATATCAAGCAAAAAGCACAGTCACCATTGTTCAGATATGAAATTCTTCAGTGCTCATTTGGATCCAAGACATCTCTCCTTCCCTGGAGGAGGCAGCACATGGACCCCAGCACCATGAGGCTGGCACAGTCCTGCCAGCCTCCTCCCAGGATGTCTCTGATTCTCCCAGACCCTCTGAACATCCCTGAGGGAATTCTGCCAGCTGTGCACAGAGGCACAACACAGCTGGAGAGCAGATCCCAGGTGAGGAGGACTTCTAGCTTGACCCAGCACAGACGCTCTTATGAGTTCCCAGATTAAATGAAGAAAAAATCATGCGTCATCACAATTCACACTAGGTTTTCATCCCACAACAGATGGGGACCTACATCAGGGCTTGGTTCAGACTCTCTTTTTCCTCCCCCTCGCACAACTCATGCACCAGCCTCCCTGGGATGACTCACCAGATTCCTGACCAAGCTGTGAGCAAGCAGCAGCTCCTCTTGGAATCATAGAATAGTTAGGGTTGGAAAGGACCTTAAAGATCCTCAAGTTCCAACCCCCCTGCCATGGGCAGGGACACCTTCCACTACTTCTCCAAGGACCTCCAGCTTACTGAGCAGACTTCAGAAGCTGCCCCTTTGGTGGGGCAATGGTGGTGCAGGAGGTCCAGATCAGTGCATGGTGGTTTCCTTCTGCTGCTCTTTATTCGCTTTCCCCTGCCCAGCTGTGGGTCACCCATGGTCCCTCAGAGCTGCCCCTACCCTGATGTGGGTTGCCTCCTTCCAAGAGCATCTCCAAACATGCCATCTATTTGTCTGTAGCCAAAATGCCAGGAGAATCCACAAGACTCTTTAAACTGATCTTCTGGACTTCTTCTCTTCTTCCCATCTCTGCAGATGTCTACTAGCTTTGGTTGCCTTCTTTTGAAGGACCAGCATCTCAAGGGGCCAGCCCATCCATAAATCATTGCTCTTTTTGTCATGTTTGTTGTTGCCAAACCAAAACAGCTGAAAAATTAACATTGATGCCAGATGTGGGGATTATCTGAGTGGCTTCCCACCCTCCTCCCCCAGCATCCCTCTCCCTGAATACCCCACTGATCATCTGTGGTTCATACACGGTTCATACACCCTCAGAGACTCCAAGGACAGGGAATACCTAAATCAGCTCCAAAGGATCATCACTCATTTACAAAGCACTCAATAAAGTTTCTGGAGCCTCAGATGAAAGGGGACATTAAAATCCAGCCCTAAGAGTCCAGGCTGCTCCCTTGTGCCCCAGCAGTGCAGTGGCACTGGATCCAAACTGTTTTACACCAGCAGGACTAAGCCTGAAGGACACATGTACCATCGCCTGTGTACCAGGAAAAGAGCTAGACGTGCCCAGGGGGATATTTACCCACCCAGAGATAAAATCTTCCTCCTTTGTGGATCAAAGGTCTGTTTAGCACCACTTGATGCTGAGACAGGCACGGCCCATGTTTGTTTACAAACCGATGCTATTCCTGGCTATTCCCAGCAGCAGTTTCTCCTCTGCCATGATTAGCATCTCTGAAGTCCCAGCAGTGAGCAATTAGGGCGATCAGGCTCCTTAGGGCATATAAATATTTCCATTCAGGGCCTCTTGGCAGCTTGAGGAGCTGCTGGATTGTGTGAGAGAGAAGTGGTATTGGAAGGGGATGTAGGTACAGCTAAGGTTGCATCCAGATCATCCAGGTGAGCTGCATAGATATTTTTTTTTTCATTCAATCTGGTGTTATGCTAGTATTTTTAGCCCAGCTCAAATCTTAGACAAATTGAAGCAAATGTAAAACAATTTATCTGGAAAAGTGACTATGCAGATATGCCAATGTGTTAAGTGGATTTTGTCTCTTATTGAGTTAACGAGCGACTTCATTACTTCCAGCTATCCCACATTAAGTGAATACTGTGGTAGAGAACCACCAGTCATACATTTGCAGCCTCAGTTTCCTTCCTTGCATGGGTTAATTACAGCAGTGCTAGTTATTTGGCTGCAAGATGTTCCTTGGTTAAATAAACTTCAGGAAGCTGTAAGCACAGGGGTGTAACATTGCTCCTGTGAAGACCTGCAGTTACCCCATCATAGCTCCAGTCCTGTCCTCCTGGCTTGCACAAGCCTGAAGAGGATGGCAAACCCCCCAGGAAGGCAAGAATTCATTCTCCTCCCTTATGGGAAGGACAAAAGTCATGAGCTCCAGCGAGCATGATGCTAGGGAAGTGCTCTGGAAGGGGTGATGGGGGGAAATACAGAGACTCTGTAATGAGAGATCAGGTTGTGCATGCATCTATCAGAGGTTATTCTTTATCTTATGCTGGGGAAGGGATATGGGCTGGATGATTGCTCTAGCTCTCTTAAAAACCACAATTCAAGGGATCTTTGCTTCAGGACAGGGGTGCTGGGTGGCTGTTAGTACAGTCAGAGCAGGGTGTGATGACAAGTAGCCGGCTGTATGCTTTTCACGGGCTCAGACTGCATGGCTGGTGGATTTACAACGTCTAAGTGACACAAAACATGAAGTGCATCAAATCTGGAAAATTTAATTATTATTGCTTTGCAGCAGAGAAGCAAAGCTGACAAAAAAATGAGCGAGGAAAGAGTTAAAATCTCAGCTTCAGGTACAAGGATCTATTCAGGGAAGCTTTGCTGGCATGCAAGCAATTAGAGTTCATCTCCTTTTGCACTTCAATACCCAGCAGCTCATTCTCCAAGAGTACTTTAATCCATTTCACTGTTTAAATTTGCAGCAAATCTATTTTTTTATTGTAATTTAATGGGGTACCACAAGCGAGGTAAAGGTGCCTAGCGATGTCCCCCACTTGTAGAAAACCTTCTAGATTTTAACCACTGCAATGAGCAAAAAAAAAATGTCACTTCCCAAGCTACTAAAGGGGACAGGACTGGCAGAGGGCTGTGAGTGCACAGGAAAAGGATCCAGTAAAAACTGGGCCTGATGCTTGTTGAATAGCATCACTTAAAAATGTGGATGGATTTATCATACAAGATGAAGAGCAGGTAACGCTGCCCAGAACAGCGCATGGGATCTGGAGATCGATGAGCTCTGATAGAGAGGAGGATCTGCTTTTTTTCTGAGCACGGGGTTACAGGATCTCAGCTGCCTTTGCCCTTTCCCAATAAATAATTCTGGCACAAGAGACATCTCCTGGCGGAGCGGCTCCTGCCAGCTGTGGCTCTGCCTCCCTGGATTTACAGCCGAGGCAGCTGACTGCGCTGCAAACAGAGTCCGCCTCGCAATAAACCCTTACAAATAACATCGTCCCGGCAGCGTTTTCACAGTATGGGCTTTGCAGCACTTGGCCTTACGCCGCAAATAGCAGCGAGCAGGAACGGGCTGAGATGCCGGTTGGTGTGTGTCACGGGGAGGACTCGCAGCGGGTTGGAGGAGAGATGGAGCTATGCAGGGGTCAAGGAAAGCCAAATGTCTGGAGAGCCGAGGACATGAAGTCTGGCCCTTTGGTATGTCGGGGAAAACAGAGGGTACAAGTGCCTGAGAAACTTGCATCTGATTCCCAGACTGCCAGCAGGAAAATTTAACCCTTCTGTGCCTCTGCTTTGGTCAAACAGGGACAATTCTTTCTTTTGGGGAGGGCTCGAGAGCAAGGAGGTGCACGCACGGTGGGAGGGTTAGTGCTGGAAGGGACCAGCACTGCAGCATCGGGGGGGGGAGTTTTGGCCACGACACTGGTTTTCCTTTCTAAAGCTGGACAAAAAAAAGGTGCCCATTCAGAGAGGTACCCCAGCAAGGTGGTTTGGGCTCCAGCAGGGACAGCCCCACAGCTGGGGGATGCATGGGGGTCAGTGAGCTGCTTCCACGGGCATCAGCTTTCACAGCAAAAATGCTCTGGGCAACAAACATTGATGTTGCAAACATTTATCAGTTGAAATTTCCCAAGGTGGGAAGCAGATGGGGCACACCAGCCCAGGAGATGATATGACCCCCACCCCTGCAGAGGGGTTGGGGTCACCAGAGTCCTGCTGAGCTGCAGCATTGAACTATTCTGGATCTTCCCCCTTCTCCCATCTTAGATTTTTGTACAGATGGCAACTAAATATACTCAACTTCTTGTAACTCCCAAATGGTGGAGTGGGGGGTGGGGTGTTGTGGGTAAGGACTGAGCAGCAACCGTGCGCTACATGGTTGCTCCTTTCCCCCTTCTGGTAAGATGGGGGAAAAAATTAAATTAAAAAAAAGGTGGAATCTCATGAGTTGAGGTAATGACAGATTTTAGAATCATAGAATCATTAAGGTTGGAAAAGACCTCAAGGATCATCAAGTCCAACCATCAACCCAACCCCACCCAACCCACTAACCCATGTCCCCAAAAAATCCTGCCCCCCTCCGGGGATGGTACCTCCCCCGCCCCTGGGCAGCCTGTTCCACTGCCTCATCACTCTTTCTGTGAAACAATACAACACAAGAAAAAGAGAAGATAACAACAAACAGTATTAGAAAAGGAAAGCACAATGAAAGCAGCTTACTACCAAAATGCTGCCCCAAAACCCCCACCCCTCTCCCGGCTAGCTATCCCCTGTATCCCTTCTTAGTGAAGCACATTTTATTTACATTCTTGCAAGAGTGGGTGTCCTAACGAGTAGGCACACCTGGTCAAAACTGGACCGCTGCTTGTATTCCCTTATCCCCATGGCAAGTTCCCTCTCTTGTTTCCCTGTTGGCTGGTGTCCTGGGTCCAGCTGGGATAGGGTTAATTCTTCACAGAAGCTGGGAGTTGGGCATAGCCGGATATTCGATACCATGCTGACGTCATGCCCGGGATATAAGGGGAAGCTAGCCGGGAGAGGGGTCTCTTTTGTGAAGCTCGTGGTGGTGAGATTTTCATTGTATCAGTGTTTCCATTGTACTCTATATCTTGTCTTATTGTTATATTCTTCTTTCTTTTGCTTTCCTCGTGTGGTATTATTAAAAATCTGTCGTTATCTCAACTCAGGAGGTTCCACTTTTTCTTATTTGCCCCCATCTTACCGGGAG